GGAGATAGAGTTAGCCAGATGTAGCAAATAAAAACAGGACACCTATGCTTTTTCAGATGAAATTCAGATAAATTCGAATTTCAGATAAATAATAGATATATTTGTAGCATAAGTATGTCCCCTTTAATATTTGGGACATACTTATACATGACAGACCTGGACCTCATAGCTCCTGACCCTTGGTTCAGACTTTTGTTCCTTAGCTTGTTTCTCCTTCTCAGGGACCTTGGAAGAATCAGAACTTTTCGGCCCTTATCTAGGGGGAAGAACGAATCACAAGCAGTTGAGTTAGTAGCTGAGATTTTTTGTTTTAAAGTGGCTGTTAGTTTCCCAGTCATCAGTTTACATGCAGCTGGGTCTTCTTACCTTACCCATGCTGGCCCCAAGCTCAGGCACTGAGCACCAGCAGCTGCTGCTATCTGTGGATCCCAAAGTCCCATCCATGAAGCCCAGGATTCATGGTCTGGAAGGGCATGGAGACTCTCACATCTCAGGTACACCCTCCCATTTTGCAGAAAGAACAACTGAATCCAGGGAAGTGCCTGAAATCACCTGGTGAAGACCAAGCAAAGCTGCAATTCAAAGCCAACACTACTGATGGAGTTGTTATGAGCATTATGAGACAAGTGATTCTCAGATTGGCAGAACCAGCGGCACCTGGGAGATGATTTTAAATGCATATCCTCAGCACCTTCTCAAACCTAAAGAACCACCAATCCTGAAGGTGGGGCCAGCCATCTGAAAGCCTCCCTGGAGATTTGAGTGCCTGCTCAGATCCCAAACATCACTGCCTTGCCCTGTGTCCTAAATCAGAAAAATGGTTTTCTGACTTGGGGGGAAAATCGGAAAAGAGATAAGAATGGTTTTTTTAAATTTATTTGACTAAGAATTAATCAGAAATAAAACAGGCAGAATGGCCCATTCCCTATGGACTGTGAACCTCAAGGAATGTACCCAGCTGTTCAATCACACTTCTCGAATTTCAGAGGGTCCATTGAGTCACTTTTATACCCAGCTGTTTGGTCACCCTTACCAATGTGCAGAGGGAAAGTCCATTCACTTTAACACCCACCTGTTTGATCACACCTCCCGATGTGCAGACAGTTCAGTCACTTTAATACGCAGCTGTTCGATCATGCTTCCCATTCTACAGAGAGAAAGTGCAGTCACTTTAAAGTTGTTTCCCGTAGGAAGCTCCCTGAGGGCAGGACTTGTATCTTGCTCCCTGCTGCAGCCAGACTAGAGCACACTGAAGGCACTCGGGCTAGTTAAATGATTGCTCGTGTCTTCATTTCCTCCTCCCTCATTTATCAGTAGTACCGCCTGCGTGTTGAGCCATGTGTGGGCACTGCAGTAACCGAGATGGATCTGGCCTCGAGTCCTAGGGCCTCCGAGTCAGGTGTAGGGGGAGAAAGGGGTTGGAACTTGTGTGATTAAGGGTTAGGAGGCCAGGTGTGAGGGAGCAGGGGGATCAAAAAGGGGCACAGCTGATGCAACCTCAACAGGGGGAGGATCGTCAAGAGGTGACACGATATGAAGCAGGGTCTCCAGAAAAACAGAACCGTGTGTGTGTGTGTGTGTGTGTGTGTGTGTGTGTGTAGGACTTTCTTATAAGCAATTGGCACATATGAGTACGACGGTCGCAAGATTCAAGATCTACCAAATGAGTTGGCAAGCTGGAGACCAAGGAGACCTGATATCGTTCTAGGCTGCAGGCTGGCGGGCTTGAGACCCAGAGCGAACTGATGTTTCGACTCATGTCTGAGGGCAAGAAAAGGCCGATGTTTATCTCAAGCAGTTTAATTAAGTATCTGGGCACCCAACTGAGGGGAGAGAGAACATACCTGACAAGGCCTGGTAGTAAAGGTATCACTGCGTACGCGGGGAAGCGTAAGGAGTTCAAATGGTTCGTCAGGGTGTAGGAAGGCCTGGGGTACTGGGCTAGAAACAGGACAAGCCACGGGCTTGCACAGGAAGGCAGGCTTTGGGTGGGCCAAGTCGGCTGGGTGACAATGGGGCTCTGGAGCGGAGCTGTCCAGGAGGCAGCCGGCTGGGCTGGGAGGACGGGAAAGAGGTCCTAGCCATTGCCAGAGCTCCAGAACCGTCAGCAGCATGTGTGTGGCTCTGAAGACACGGGAGGGGAAGACAGGACCAGGCAGAAGGGCCAGAGAGAAAAGAGGGGAGGGGCTGTGTTAAAACTGTGACGTGCGCTCTCAGCTGGTCCGAATTCCAGGAGGGCCTCCCGGGACCTCGCCACCAAATGCCAGCTCATTCCCAGCAGGCGCAAGTAGGAGGTTGCCGGGGACAGGAGGCAGCTTTTCCTGGGTGGGCAGCGCCTGCAGTTACCCATCTCCTGTTGCCCAACCCAGGGCCAGGAAACAGCCAGGCTGGACGTCCCAGGCCTGTCGACTCCGGGACAGTCCAGGCCAGCCTGTGTTTGCTCTGTCCACAGTGAATCAAGTTCCAGCCATGGGCAGCCACATCCCACAATGCCCAGCTGCCTGGCGCTGGGAGAGTAAAGGAGCAGCAGGCAACAAGGGAAGAGCCTGGCAGCTGAATCCCGTCCCGGCCGCGTAACCAAACACGGCCTTGGGCATGTCATTGCCCGTCGCTGAGCCTCAGTGTCCCCCTCTGCAACATGGGGATACTGTGCCCTTCCCTCCTTGCCAATCACAGACAGGGCTATCGTTTCATAATAGCATGGTAAAGGGAGTGGAAAAAATGATAGTCAACTGCTTTTTGACCTATAAAACCCACGGCATCTTAGGGTTCAACCCAATGGCAGCACCATTCAAAATGAGAGCAGCTGCATTTCGTGCACGCTGCCTGTGCACCCGGAGTGTGTTCATGTCATATGCTCGCAGCCCGTGCATAACCCTCTGAGACCGACCCTGGCTCTTCGGATGGGGGGAGCTGAAGTCCACAGAGGTTACCTAAGTTGCCCAAAACCACGGAACAGGATCTGAACTGTAGCAAACCTTCTTTTGGGGTATTTCCTCAACCAAACTCAAACTTCCTAATTCGCAGAGTTTGCGAATTACATTGGCTCTGCCAATGTACTTTTGTGGCTGCTCAGGCGGGAGACCACAAAGTACTCATGGACTCAGAGCTCAGCCCGGGTCTGACGAAGGATAGATCAAGTGGCTTTCTCAGAAAACGAATGCTCTCAAATGGGCTCATTTCCCTGGTTGTCTAAACCTCGCCTCTTCACCGCGCCTCCCTTCCTCGCTGGGCCATCTCTTTCCTCATCTCTCTAATGGGGGGAAATATCCTATTTCCTTGCTCCTACTACAGCCATAGTTTTGCATTCTGATATCTTTAGAAGTGAGATGTAACCTGCGATCACTGGAGCAGTTACGGCGTGCAGGAACCTGTCTTTCTTTCCTCCCCACCCCAGCTTGTCATTAAACTGACGGTGATAATTACTATAAAGGGGCAGACACTTAGGAGCAAATTTGTTTCATTTAACAAGCACTGACAAACATGAACCAAACCCTGCTCTTGCCTTGGTCCCCACTTCCCCTTAGATAACTGTAGCTGTCCAGGGCGATAGCTCCCCTCCTGGAGCAGGTCCTTGCTCTGAAACCCTTGCAGGCAGTCAGTGGGGGAAGTCAAAGGTTCCTCTCACCTCTGGGCCTTGGTTGCTGCCACCTCAGAATAATCTCCTGAATGGCACATCTTGAGGAGGCTCATTCGGAACCCCTGCGGAGTATATGGCATACGCTTTACCGAGTCTGGCCTTCTTTGCTCAGGGTAATGTTTATAGGATTCATTCACATTGTTACATGTGTCAGTGGTTCGTTTCTTTTCATTGCTAAGTAATCTGTTGTGGCGTGAAAATGCTACGATTCGTTTTTCCATTTTCCCGTTGACAGACAGTTGAACTCCTTCTAGTTTTTGCCTATTTTAAGTAACACTGAAGTCTTACACATGACATATGCTCCTCTTTGTCTGGAACGGTACGGTTATTTTAGAAAGCAATCTGGTCACTCCCTGAGAGCTCTCATCGGAGGAAAAAATCACAATCTAAAATGCTATGGGCAATTATATCTCAACGAAGCTGGAAAAGAATAAAATAAAATCCTCTGGGAGTATAGACAGGACATGATTAAGTAAATGCTAACCGAGGACGTGAATAAAAGGTTACGTGTGCTTTAAAATTGTAACTACAGAGTACACTGAAGTATGAAAAATTATTGGAGATATATAAAATGAACGAGAATGCAGTCTGATAAGCACACCCTAGTAGTTCCGTAAGTCCTATCGGTGAGGATAGAGATGTGACCCGGGGCAGCTCCCGAGGCCCGCTGCGCGCTGGGCTGTTCCGGGCTGGGGGACACCCCGGGGGGAAGAGAGGCAAGCTGCCTGTTCAGACAGCAGAGGGTAGAGACAACGCAGAAATAACTTCCTGTTTTACCTGCTGGGAGGCGAGTCAGGTGACACACTTACTGAAAACAGACGTTTGCCTTTGTGCCTCCCTTTTTTGGAAATGTCCTTGCCTCCAGGCCTGGGTTGGAGCCCTGCTGGACCTTTGTTCTTTCACCCTTGTTACCACACTCAGGTGGGACGGAGTCCACGTTTGCCCTACCCACACCCCTACAGTCATTCTGCACCCCAAGGACCCTCCACCCAGTGCTGGCCTGAGAACCCTCCAACCTGCCTGAAATGTTTGATTTATGTCTGCGTCCCTCAGAGAAAGAGAGGGAAATGGAGAGAAACATCAGTGCGTGAGAGGGAGTTCAACGGGTTGCCTCTGTCACTCGTCCTAACTGGGAGCCGGCCAGCAACCCATGATGTGCCCTGACCGGGAAGGCAACCAATGACCTTTTGTTTTGCAGGAGGATGGCTGACAAACAGAGCCAAGCTGGCCAGGGCATCCACCTTGGCTCTGGACAGCCAGGAGGGAATGTTCTGGGTGTGGCATTTCGGAAGCACTTCCGGATTGTGTCACAGTGGATTCCCAGCGTCCCGCACACAGCTCATTATAAAGGTCACCGCAGACTTCAGCCACCAGTACCACCTAAGTCTGGCGCATCTTTGTCTCAGCATGGCACTGCCTTGGGCCCTTGCAGTCTTGAGCCTTCTTCCACTGCTGGATGCTGGGAGCCCGGTGTGTACCAATCACACGGTGCCTATCACCAAAGCTGCCCTGGACCGGGTGAGTGCCTGGGCCCCTGACGCCGTGGGCAGCTCTCTCCCTCCCTTCCCGTTCCCCTGCTGGCTTGTCATCAGCCCCCTCTCCTGATGCTGCCCTTTTCTCGCCCGGGTCTGGGGGAGGCAATCCGGTCAGCCTCCAAAGGCTTTGCGTTCCGCTGCCTCCACACCTGGAATCCTCATTGCAAAGTCCCTCAGAGGGGCCGCCGGGGGTGGCGGTGATGCTGCTTCTTGGAGTGAGCTCCTGCATGCCCGCTCCTGCATGCCTGCTCCTGCATGCCCTCTCCTGCATGTGCACTCCGTCCTGGGGCCCTCAGTCTCCTGTTTTGCAAAATGGAGAGATCTGGTCCGGCTTCTTCCCAACCTCCATCACTTGCCTCTGGCTTTCCCCAGATCTCTGGCCGGTGGTTTTATATTGCTTCGGCTTACCGGTACCCAGCGTATAAGGAGCTAGCTAGCAAGATAAAGACCGCCTTCTTTTACATGACACCCAACCACACGGAGGACACGGTACTGCTCAGAGAATACATAACCATGTAAGACCCTCACTGGCCAGCTCAGCCCAGGCCCAGCCCCAGCTCCTGGCTTGAACTCCAGGTACCCCAGAGACCTTGAGCAAGCCCCTCCCTCTTCCTGGCCTTAGCCTTCTCCTGCATGAAACGCATGGGGGTCTGACTCGACTTGCCATTCGACTCCTGCTGCTCAGTGGCTGCACTGTCTACTTCTCCCTGACTGTCTTACTGATTGTCTCCTCACTTCTGTCTGGCCTAGTGGGGACAACTGCACCTATAAATCCAGTAACCTGACAATCAATCGGGAAAATGGGACCCTGGTTAAATACGGTGAGCCCTCGGGGGGAAGGCTGCTGTATGGAAGGGGGACGTGGAAGGGGGAGAAGCCCAAGGGAGGTGGGCATATGGGACTTTGGGCACAGAACACATGGGAGAGGCCCACTCTTATATCTGTGTCGGCCCAGTGCCTGCGCACCAAAATAATCCGTAATAACTGCCAACATTTCTGAGCTCCTTCTATGCGCCAGACACTGTACAAAGTCCTTTATGTGAAATAACCCACTTGATACTCTTAAGCAACCCTGGGAGGACATTACAGTGATCAGATGAGAAGATGGAGAAACAGAGATGTCCACTAGTTCCTACGAGGTCACACAGTTCGTGACGAGAATTGGGTTAGGGCCCCCAGTCAGCTCCAGGACTGTCCCCCTTTCAACCCCTCTCTGTCCTCTGGGAGCTAATGGTGGCAGCCTGTTTGCTGGGCAGGAAGAGACTTTGCCCATGTCTCCACCATCACTGCCGTGGGGGCACAGGGTGGGAACAAGGAGGCGCCAATGGAATTGAACCAACACCAAAGAGGAGCCCTGAGGCTCCTCTCTGAACCTCATGTCCCTCATCTGTAAAATGGGCAGAAAGGCTCTGACAACCACAGTTCACGCGAGGCTCCTCTGACTCCACACACGTCAGTGTTCAGTGTGGGGCCTGGTGCGCGGTCGGAGAGAAGGACACGTGGCCCAGGTAGACCCCTGGCCCCTGCCGATTGCTGTGTGGCCCTGGGCACACCCAGTTTCCTCACCTGTGAGTTGGGAACCATTGTACTGTTCCCATGGTCTCACCCAAGGGCTTTGTCTTCCAGAGAATGGTACAGGACACTTTGGCTACTTGATGCTACCCAAGGATAACAGGACCTACATGTTAATTGCTTTCCCAGACGACCCACAGAAAATAGCAGTATCTTTCTATGGTAAGTATCCCCCTAAATCCCACTGAGGCTTCACCCAGGAGCACCTACTCCTGGGGCTCGCGCCACAGACTCCCAGATGTCCCTAGCCTGTCACCAGCCCCCTGCACATCCTCACTAGTCCCTCTGGTCCCTCCTGCAGCTGACAAGCCAGAGGTGACCTCGGAGCAAATGGACCAGTTCTACGAGAACCTCTGGTGCAGAGGCATGAACAAGTCAGAAGTTATGTATACCGATGATAAAAAGGTGAGTGCAAGGCCAACTCAGTGATGCTCATGTGAGGGTGCTCCTGTCTTGGGCAGCGCAGAGGTCCAGAAAAGGAAAGGTGTAAACTGGGGCTGCACAGCAAAGAAGGAGATCCTGCTTTTAAGGACCTACCTCACTGAAGAGAAGGCTGAGCTTCAGAGAGGCCCATGGCGGGAGTGGGGATGAGAGCCCAGAAGGGATGTCTCTGGAGAAATAGAGAAGGAACCCTCCTCGCTCCTTGGGACCCCGGGAAAGGGCTTATGAACATCGGCCCTGGTGGGGGTTCCCTGGCCCACAGCCTGCTCTGCCCACCTACGGGCCAGGGGACCTCGTTCAGGCCACACGGCCACTAAGAGCCTCAGCCGCATCTTCTGCAAAATGGTGGTGAGAAATCCAGATCCACATAAGGGCTTAGCAGGTCGTAAGTGCTCTGTAAATTCCAGTTGTTCTTAAGGCTTTGAGCCCCCATTCCAGGGCTGAATCAGCCGAGGCTCAGGGAGAGAAATGACTTCCCCAAGGTCACCCAACGGAAGTGTCAGAGACCGGACTAGAGCCATCCTCATGCTTCTGCCACAGTCCAGAGGGGACCTCACAGTTCCCCCCAGGAGCCCCCTGCCCTCCTCCCATCATGGCGTTTTCTTCTTTTCCCACTCCCCAATAGGATCTCTGTAAGACGCTGGAGAAACAACATGAGGAGGAGAGGAAGGCCAAAGGCGAGAAGACCGAGAAAGACACAGTATTGGATAAGGACGTCGGAGACGTCGGGGGTCTGTCCTGAGCCCCCCTTCCAACATTTGTACCTCAGTTCTTTCCCTCTGTGGCATCAATAAAGCTTCTGCTTTGGAATAAGTACTTGGTCACATAAGCTCCTTCACTCATTCTCCCAATCATTCACGTTGAGGCTGCCCAGAACTGATCCGGGAGGACCACCAGATAGGACCCAAAGGAGATCTGGTGGCTAAGGGACAGGGGGCCCTGAGGCAGGTGTGGCCAGGCATGAAGGGCCTCTCTGCAGACCTCGCCTGGCCATCGAGGGAGGCGAGTTGGGAGGGCCTGACTGTAGGCAAGGAGAGTCCGTGGATGCAGCTGACCCTGGTAAGAGTGGGGGCCCGGGCCAGGGCAGGGGCAGATCAGGGGAGACCGAGGGACCTAGGTCAGGGGGGCTGGGTGTCTCCCTGAAGTGTCCTCATGGCAGCCTCTGGGCACCCAACATCCACAAGAGGATACGACACCGGGGAATGAAGTTTGCCCCCAGAAACCAGCCCTGTTGCTCATGCGTTCTGAGCCCTGGAGATGGGGCCCTGTCGGAGGCGGGTCCACTGAGTAGAATAAAGTGAACTGAGCCCCTGAAGCCAGGAGTCCAGCAGGAAAAGCCCAGCCTTCTTCCTCACACGGGGCCTTCACGATTTATGTCCTGTGAGGGAAGGAGCGCCGCTCAAGTGGCACAAAAGTTGGAGCTGAGTTGTTCAGAAAATCCAAAGTGTCCTAAGCCACATCGAGCAACAGGTGTGTTACCCAGGGGCCCGACGCTGAGTCCCATGGCTCACACGCGGACACCCTCCAAAGAGCCGGCTCCGGGGCCCAAGCTTCAGCGTCCTTTGCTCTAAACTGGAGCCACTGCCCTGGGCCCCCACCGGGTTGCTCCCCTTTTCCATCCTGACATCCATGGGACAGCCTCTTGGCACCCTGAAGAGTGTGGACCCAGAGACTCAGAAGCTACAGGAAATCTCCACATCTGTTTTACTTTCAACGTGATCACACCCTCGTTTTTACTCCATTTCCCCCCCAATACCCTTTATTCCCTGTTAACCCACCCTCCCCCATCCTTGCCATCACCACGCTGTTGTCCACGGCCTGAGTCCTTTTTCATCCTTGTTCAATCCCCGTACCGCCTCACCCGCCCCCATAGCTGTCATCCTGCTCTCTGTGTATGAGTATGACCCCATTTTGCTTATTAATTCAGTTTGTTCATTAGATTGCACATAGGAGTGAAATCGTGGTATTTGTCTTCCTCTGGCTGGCTTATACCACTTAGCCTACGGTTCTCCAGATCCATCCATGCTGTCACATGGGTAAAATTCTCTTTGTGTTCATGAGTGAAGTAGTATTCCAATGTGTAAATATCCCTTCGTCGTTCTATGCACTCATCCACTGATGCACACTTGGGCTGCTTCCTTATCCTGGCATTTTTAAATAACACTGCAATAAACATAGGGGTGCTTATGTTCTTGCAAATTAGTATTTGGGGTTTCCGCCGATGTATTCCCAGGTGGGATCACTGTGTCAAAAGGTAGTGCCGTCGTTAATTTTTCGAGGTCTCCATACTGTTTTCCACAGTGGGGACAACAATCTGCATTCCCACCAATAGTGCAAAAGGCTTCCCCTTTCTCCACATCATTACCAGCACTTGGGTGATCATTTATTAATGATAGCTGCGCAGGGATGCACTCCTCGGCTCTGGACTTTCTTCAAGAGGGTCTGGAGCCCACTGAGTCCGCCCGCTGACTGTGTCGCTTACAGAGGTGGTTGGTCGGTGGTGCTCTGACGCGGTCTGTAGCTGTCTGCTGGGTGCACAGGTTCCGGGGTTTCCTGGGTGGTGCAGGCCAACATCAGCCACTACCGGCATTCTGCCTGGGGCCACCCAGCGTGAGCGGCAGAGCGATCCGCAGGCCGCTGCTACTTGTGCTGGGCTCTCAGAACCCAGGCGAAGCCAGCTTGTGAGCCAAGGCTAATGCTACTAGATCCAGGCCGGGGGCCACTTAGCAAGAGGTACTGAGGCTCGGGCCAGCCAGGGCTGGCTCTTGCCTGTTGGAGAGGCTCTAGGAACATCTGAAGCGTGAGCCAAGACAAGGCAGTCACGTGGAAAAGCCGCTGTTAAGAGCTTGGGTGGGCCCTGCAGCTGGGTGGGGCAGACCCTCAGGGAAACACCGGGGTGGGCCACGGAGTGTGAGCCAGGTTGAGGTAGTCTCCGATATGGCTCCAGCCAGCCTGCTCTGTGGGTGGAGGGCACAGAAAAGGAACAATGGCCTCTGCTCGGAATTCTGTCTGGGAGAAAGCTATCTCCCAGGTGTCACCCTGATTCCAGACACTTCACGTCCTCGCTGTATGCCACTGGTGCCCCTTCACTGCTGCCCCCGTGCTGGAGTTCAGAGGGAGCGAGTCTGAGTACGTCTGTGTGTGGGCCCTTTGAGAGGAACCGTTTGGAATCCTGGACACTGGAACCCTGGGCTGGGAGGCCTGGCGTGGGGCTGCCACCCCTTACTCTTGAGATATCCCTCCTGGACTTAAACCACTGCACATGGGTCTGGGACCTGCCCTTTCCCCACCTCCCCGTCTCTGCATCTCTGTGCCTCCCCCCAGTCTGAATGAACGTGGCTTCTTTAATTTCCTGGTTGTCGGACATTCATTCATCGATGTCTGTTGATTACGAGTGATGGTTGTTCTATACTTTAGTTGTAATTTTGATGTGTCTGTGTGAGGAGGTAGCTGCATTTCCCTATGCCACTCTCTTGGTCAGGAAATCCCCAACACCATTTATTGCATAAACTTTTTTAGCCCATTGCATGTGCTTGCTTCCTCCATTAAATATTATTTGACTATAAAGTTGTCGGTCCATTTTTGGGCTCCCATTTCATTCCATTCATCTATGTGTCTGTTTTATACCAGTACCATGCTGTTTTCATTTCTTTGGCCTTAGAGTGTAGTTTGATATTAGGTAGCATGATTCTTCCAACCTTGTCCTTCTTTCTCAGGATTGCTGTTGGTATTCCTGGGCACTTTGTGGTTCCATATAAATTTTGAAATATTTGTTCTAGCCCTGTGCAATAAGTCATTGGGTCTTGATAAGGATTGTGTTGAATCTATAGATTGCTTTGGGTAGCAGGGACTTCCTGATGATGTTCATTCTCTCTATCTATGAACACAGTAAGCGTTTCCACTTATTTGTATCTTCTTCAATTTCTTTCCTCAGTGTCTTATAATTTTCTGAGTGCAGGTCTTTTACATCCTTGGTTAGCTTTATTCTGAGATATTTTATTCTTTTTGGAGCAATAGTGAGTGGATAGTTTTCTCAATTTCCCTTTATCATAGTCCATTGTTGGCATATAAAAATGCAATATTTTCTGGGTATGGATTTTCTGTCCTGCTCGTTTGCTGAATTCGTTGATCAGCTCTAGTATTGCTTGGTGGAATCTTTAGGGTTCTTTATGTACAATATCATGTCATCTGCAAATAAAGACAGTTTTACTTCTTCCATTCCAATTTGCATGCCTTTTCCTTCATCTTCTTGTCTGATTGCTATTGCTAGTACCCCCAGAACTATGCTGAATGAGAGACGTGAAAGCGGACCTCCCTGTCTCATTCCTGATCCTGACGGGAACCCTTAGAGTTTTTGCCCATTGGGTATGATGCTGGCAGTGGATTACTTATATATGGCCTTTATTATATGTATTTACATTCCCTCTGTTCCCACTTTGCTGAGTTTTTAATCATACATGGGTGCTGTATTTTATCAAATGCTTTCTCTCCATCTGTTGAAATGATCAGGTGGTTTTTCTCCTTCATTTTGTTTACGTGGTATACCACATGTATTGATTTGCAAATGTCGTAGAACCTTGTATTCCTGGAATAATGCTACTTGATCATGGAATATGATCTTCTTGATGTGTTGCTGTATTCTGTTTGCTAATATTTTGTTGAGGATTTTACTGTGTATGCCTACAAGTTTCTTTCTTTGTAGTGTCTTTACCTGGTTTTGGAATTAGGATAATGCTGGCTTCCTAGAATGAATTTGGAAGCCTTCCCCCATGCTGAGTTTTATGAAATAGTTTGAGAGGATGGGTGTTAGTTCTTCACGCAATATCTGGTAAAATTCACCAGTGAAGGTATCTGGTATAGGCCTTTTGTTTGCTGGGAGTTTTTTTATTACTACTTCAATTTTACTAGGTGTGATCTGGCTTTGAGATTCTCTGATTCTTCCTAGTTTAGTTTAGGAAGATTGTATATTTCTAGGAATTTATTCATTTCATTGAGTTTGTCCAATTTATTGACATAGAGTTGTTTATAATATTTTCTTACCACTCTTCGTATTTTTTTGGTGTCAGTTGTTACTTCCCCTCTTTCATGTCTGATTTTATTTATTTGGGTGCTCTCTCTTTTTCTTGAAAAGTCTGATTAAAAGTGTGTCCATCTTATTTATTTTTTCAAAGAAGCAGCTCTTGGATTCATTGACCTTTTGTATAATTTTTTTCAACTCTATTTCATTGATTTCTTCTCTGATCTGTTATCTTCTCTTCTAGTCAGTTTGGATTTTGTCTGTTGTTCTTTTTCAAGTTCCTGTAAGTGTAAAGTTAGATTGTTTAAGCTTTTTCTTGTTTCATGACATAGGCGTGTAATGCTGTAATTTTTCCACTTTGGACTGCCCTCACTGGGAACAGCAGATTTTGGGGTGTTGTGTACTCATCTTTATTTGTTTCAAGGTATCTTTTGATTTCTTCTTTGATCTCATTGTGGACCGATTCATTGTTTAATAGCATGTTATTTAGCTCCCATGTCTTTGTGTATTTTTCAGCTTCCTTTTAGTATTTCTTAATATATATTTTATTGATTATGCTATTACAGTTGTGCCATTTTTTCTCCCTTTTATTCCCCTCCACCACCTCTCCCCACAGCATTCCCCCCCTCTTAGTTCATGGCCATGGGTCATACATATAAGTTCTTTTGCTTCTCCATTTCCTATACTATTCTTAACCTCCCCCTGTCTATTTTGTACCTACCAATTATGTTGCTTATTCCCTGTACCTTTTCTCCTATTCTTCCCTCTGCCCCTCCCCTCTGATCTCCATTTCTAT